TATAAAATAAATGGGGTCCACCGAGAAGTGGATAAAAAGGCTTCAAGGAAGAATATTTGGATTTCTTCCTGAAGCTGTTTGAATATTCCACTTCCCCTTCCACCCCATCTTTTCATTCGTTTTTACCAATAGGTATATTTTATTACATAATATGGTACAAAAGATTTAAGAGATACATTGTTGATATAAAGATGGCATATACAGTACATAAGATGTGAGAGATATATAGTACATATTGTTACGTGTTTGACATTGATTATAACGCGAAAATCTCATCCAGCTCCTCAGAACTGGGGCGCGTGCCCAAAATACAGCAGGCATTACCCCTCTGAACAGCAGCGCTGAGTCACTGGAACAGAAAACTAGCTGCCCTGGGATACTTAGTTACCCTGATGAGTCTTTTGCCTAGGTCCTTAAGGAACTTAGATGCACTCTTTCTCCCATGAGCCAAGGGTCTCTGAGCCTATGGGAACAAACATATAATGATGGGCAAATTCTCCATATTTTCTAGACTTTTGGGACTCCCTGAAGCAGAAATCTTCCCTATGAGGATAGACTGAGGGCCCTGAATCTGCACTCTCTCGAAAGGCGTAGAATTAGGGAGATATGATTGAGGTGTATAAATGGAAAACAGGAAAAAATGGGATGTAAATAGCGTGCTAAAACTATCTAGCCTATACAGGACTAGCAGCAATGGTTTTAAGCTGGGAAAATTCAGATTCAGGAAGTATATAGGAAATCACTGGTTTGGTTATAGAGTTGTGGATGAGTGGAACAAACTCCCGAGTATCGTCATAGACACTAAGACTTTGTGTAGTTTTAAAAATAGGTTAGATAATTACATGAGTGGGTGTGGGTGGGTGTGAGTTGGACCTGACTTGCTGGTGCTACTGGGTCAGATACCGTGCTCCTTCCTTAAGTGGAGGTGACCTGACTGGGTGGGCCATTGGTCATAGCCGGGGTTGACATATATATATATATATATATATATATATATATATATATATATATATTATATATATATATATATATATATATATATATATATATATATATATATATATATATATATATATATATATATATATATATATATATATATATATATATATATATATATATATATATATATATATATAATATATATATATATATATATATATATATATATATATATATATATATATATATATATATATATATATATATATATATATATATATATATATATATATATATATATATACGAAACAAGAGCAGTACCACCACTTGTTTGACAACTTCCGATTGCGGTTCTTTGTGTTCCATCGACAACTTTCTCAGAAGCCAAAGTTGCTGGTGCAATAAAAGTCTGGGGCTAAAGTCCACTCTAAGAGACGCAGTTTGCAGTCTCTTCAGGTCCCTCTCCACACAATTTAGTCTTTTCAGGCCCCTCTCCACACAATTCAATCTTTTCAGGTCCCTCTACACACAATTCATTCTCGCTTCACACAATTCAATCTCTCCGCGTCTCTCTCCACATAATTCAGCCTCTCCAGGTCCCCTTCCACACAATTCAGTCTCTTCCGGTCCCCCTCGACACAATTCAGTCTCTTCAGGTTACCTTCCACACAATTCAGTCTCCCCAAGTCTACCCTCCATACAATTCAGTCTCTCCATGCCCCCCTTCACACAATTCAGTCTTCCCAGGTCTACCCTCCACACAATTCAGTCTCTCCATGTCCCCCTCCTCACAATTCAGTCTTCCCAGGTCTACCCTCCACACAATTCAGTCTCTCCATGTCCCCCTTCACACAATTTCCGCTTAATACGACAGTTTCCGCTTTGCCCTGCAACTCTTCCTGCTGACAAGTGTAGCAGAGAGCGTGGGGATACCCACGCTGTTAGGTACTACAGTGTCTTTCCCTCTGCCAGACGTAGTCGAGTGTTATTCCGTTTATGTACGTTATTTTGGGTTGTTTTTGAGTATGTTTTGGTTAATATACGTTAAGTTAAGGTGATGAGTATTGAGGTTGATCTGGCAGAGGGAAGGTCTCTCGAGGGAATGTGTTGATAATGCGTCAACACCTTCCTCGCCAACACCAGCCTCGCCAACACCAGCCTCGCCAACACCTTCCTCGCCAACACCTGCCTCGCCAACATCTGCCTCGCCAACACCTGCCTCGCCAACACCTGCCTCGCCAACATCATACAAATCAGTATGAAAGGGGCCAGATACAGTGAAAACTAAGACCCTGGTCTGGGACCGGTCTTAGGGGGCGCTGACCCTCGGAGCACTCCAGGTAATCTTCCAGGGACACCTTCAGGTCGGCTTCCAGGTAGACTCTTGATATCTGACTTCTGTTAGCTGTACGCTAGGAAGCTTAAACACTGTAAATTACTTACAGACGACATTTACATCGTGTAAATAAGTTACTAGTATACTTCCATCACATTCCCTTTGGTGTAGCTCCTTCATTATCCTCTCCCACCCTCCTGGACTACCTCCTTCTTCCATCACTTTCTCCTCCCTCCCTCCAGCACTACCTCCTCTCTCCCTGCAACACTACCATCTCTCTCCCTGCAACACTACCACCTCCCTCCTTGCAACACTACCTCGTCCCTCCCTGCAACACTACCTCCTTCCTCCCTGCAACACTATCTCCTCCCTCCCTGCAACACTACCTCCTCCCTTCCTGCAACACTACCTCCTCCCTACCTGCAACTCTACCTCCTCCGTACCTGCAACACTACCTCCTCCCTCCCTGCAACACTATCTCCTCCCTCCCTGCAACACTACGTCCTCCCTCCCTGCAACACTACCTCCTCCCTCCCTGCAACACTACCTCCCCACTACCTGCAACACTACCTCCTCCCTCCCTGCAACACTTCCTCTTCCCTACCTGCAACACTACCTCCTCCCTCCCTGCAACACTATCTCCTCCCTCCCTGCAACACTACCTCCTCCCTCCTGCAACACTACCTCCTCCCTCCCTGCAACACTACCTCCCCCCTACCTGCAACACTACCTCCTCCCTCCCTGCAACACTACCTCTTCCCTACCTGCAACACTATCTCCTCCCTCCCTGCAACACTACTTCCTCCCTCCCTGCAACACTACCTCTTCCCTCCCTGAAACACTACCTCCTCCCTCCCTCCATCACTACCTCCTCCCTCCCTGCAACACTAATCCTCCCTACCTGTAACACTATCTCCTTCCTGACTGCAACACTACCTCCTCCCTCCCTGCAACACTTCCTCCTTCCCCCTGCAACACTACCTCCTCCCTCCCTCCATCACTACCTCCTCCCTCCCTGCAACACTACCTCCTCCCTCTCTCCATCACTACCTCCTCCCTCCCTCCATCACTACCTCCTCCCTCTCTCCATCACTGCCTCCTCCCTGACTGCAACACTAACCTCCTCCCACCCTGCAACACTACCTCCTCCCTCCCTCCATCACTACCTCCTCCCTGACTGCAACACTACCTCCTCCCTCCCTGCAACACTACCTCCTCCCTCTCTCCATCACTACCTCCTCCCTGGCTGCAACACTACTTCCTCCCTCCCTGCAACACTACCTCCTCCCCCCTCCATCACTACCTCCTCCCTCCCTGGAACACTATATTCTCCCTACCTGCAACACTACCTCCTCCCTGACTGCAATACTACCTCCTCCCTTCCTGCAACACTATCTCCTCCCTCCCTCCATCACTACCTCCTCCCTCCCTGCAACACTACCTCCTCCCTCTCTCCATCACTACCTCCTCCCTCCCTGCAACACTTCCTCCTCCCTCCCTCCCTCCATCACTACCTCCTCCTTCCCTGCAACACTACCTCCTCCCTCTCTCCATCACTACCTCCTCCCTGACTGCAACACTACCTCCTCCCTCCTTCTATCACTATCTCCTCCCTTCCTGCAACACTACCTCCTCCCTCCCTGCAACACTACCTTCTCCCTCCCTCCATCATTACCTCTTCCCTCCCTGCAACACTACCTCCTCCCTCCCTGCAACACTACCTCCCCCCTCTCTGCAACACTACCTCCTCCCTCCCTGCAACACTACCTCGTCCTTGTGAGAGGCAGCTGCAGCACACCCTGTGGTAGGCTGCAGCACACTCTGTGGTAGGCTGCAGCACACCCTGTGGTAGGCTGCAGCACACCCTGTGGTAGACTGCAGCATACCGTGTAGTAGGCTGCAGCACACCCTGTGGTAGACTGCAGCATACCCTGTGGGAGGCAGCTGCAGCATCAGAAGACCTTGTGGTAGACAGCAGCCTCCGACTGGAGCCACCACTATCAGTTGCAACAGACTCAAGTGCAACACCTGGCTATCTTGACTCTAAGACGCATCGCTAGCCAAGAGCTTTCCCAGTTGAACTGATGGCAGTCACGGGCTGGGGAAGGCTCTTCGAGTCAAGGGAGCCAAGTGTTGTAATGGTGCCTAAGTGATCATCTTGTCGTTATTGTAAACCGTTATTGCAATGATAGCACCACGTTGCACCTTACACATGCCAGACACATAGTGAGAGACTACATATGCGCATCTACGATGGTAGGCACACATACTTCTCTACAGCTACGGAAGATCATAATCTATAGTGGCTTCATGTATCATCTTCGTCCCAGAAGATGGAATGTAAAAACGTGGCGAAAAGTGTATATTTCATTTCGTTAAGCAGGTGGGCAGCAGACTCATTAGGGAAATGGCGGGCCCCAAGAGAGGCCAATATCATGTTCCAGCTCCTGAACGTTGCCATCCAGAGAGGCAATACTTGTTGCGTTTTCGGCACACGCAGACACCGAGGGACTGAAACAATCCATTTAAATTTTTTTTAATATAATTCTAGTTAAATAATAAAACAGTTCGCGGCACTGATTGCTTTACCAAGAATTCATTATATTTAAATATGGTTCTTTTCTTTTTTAAAAAATTCTAAACCAAAACAGAGTACAATAAGTCGGTAAAGCTACTTATGCCGCGCCCTGTGCAACAACATTCAGACAAGTTGTCTCCTCACCTGAGCTGGAAGACTGAGTAACCAGGGAGACGAATATCAGGACCATGCAAGTCATCACCTCGGCTGTGGTCGTCATCCTGCAAGGGTTCTTCCCGAGAGCTCCTTCAGGGATGCTCTCACACTCCAACAGCCACTTCTTGTTCTCTCTAGTTCTCCAGTCTTGGCATTCCTACTCACTGCTGCTGATGCCTGTTTTGTACGACAATGTTACTCACTGGTACAATGTTACTTATACAATGTTACTCACTTAAACAATGTTACTGATACAATGTTACTCACGGGTACAATGTTACCCACTGGTACAATGTTACTGGTACAATGTTACTGATGGATTGTTATTCACTGGTACAATGTTACTCACTGGTGCAATTGGTACAATGTTACTCAATGGAACAATTGGTACAATGTTACTCACTGGTACAATTGGTACAATGTTACTCACTGGTACAATTGGTACAATGTTACTTACTAATGGATTGTTATTCACTGGTACAATGTTACTCAATGATACAATGTTACTTACTGATATAATGTTACTCACTGATGCAATGTTACTTACTGATGCAATGTTACTCACTGGTACAATGTTATTCACTGATACATTGTTACTGGAACAATGTCACTCACTGATACAACGTCACTGGCACAATGTTACTCACTGATACAATGTTACTGGAACAATATTACTCACTGATACAACGTTACTGGTACAATGTTACTCACTGGTAGAATGCTACTGGTACAATGTTACTGGTACAATGTTACTCACTGGTAGAATGTTACTGGTACAATGTTACTAACTGATACAATGTTACTGGTACAATGTTACTCACTGATACAATGTTACTCACTGATACAATGTTACTCACTGGTACAATGTTACTGGTACAATGTTACTCACTGGTATAATGTTACTGGTACAATGTTACTTACTGGTACAATGTTACTGGTGCAATGTTACTCACTGGTATAATGTTACTGGTACAATGTTACTCACTGGTATAATGTTACTGGTACACTGTTACTCACTGGTATAATGTTACTGGTACAATGTTACTCACTGGTACAATGTTACTGGTACAATGTTACTGGTACAATGTTACTGGTACAATGTTACTCACTGGTACAATGTTACTGGTACAATGTTACTCACTGGTATAATGTTACTGGTACAATGTTACTCACTGGTACAATGTTACTGGTACAATGTTACTGGTACATATCCTGCACACTCCTACTACTGTTCACTCGCAAATTGTTTTTTTCAGCTTCCTTGAACTATCTCTTCTAAAACAGTTGTGCATTCTAAACTTTCTTTAATATATCGCTGAAACTATTGTAAGTTTAGTGTTTCAGTTTCTCTGTTCGTCCCTCTGTAATACTGTCCATAAATCACCACATCTTTCAAAAATCACTTCGAAAGAGACGATTTATTATCAGAAATTACGAAAGAGTAATTTGTTCTGCATTTAATGTAAAATTACAATGTTTTTAATGTATATTGCGATGTAATATACATCTGTGTGAATGTGAGACGGTCGGTGTTCACTTCTGTACAAGAGCCACATCTGTTGACATTAAGTTCACAAGTGGTATTTACACATCTGCTATCGCTAGTCGTACAACGTTCGTCCATCGCTAAGAAAACAGACTTTAAAACTACCCGTGAGGAGGAATTGTTATTTGGGATTCACATATGTTTTAAGTTTATGCATCTTCAGTGAATTTTCAAGAGTGGAAAACAAGCGATTTACAAATACGATTTTTGTATATTCCATACGATTACTTTCTCACTGTCCAGTGTAAGCCAAAGTTTCTTCTGCCTTTCCACACTGAAGGCTTTATAAGTTACTGTCATGGACGATCGTAAAGAACACGATCATGTATCACACACAGTTTAAAGGACACATTCATGTATCACACATAGTTTAAAGGACACATTCATGTATCATACACAGTTTAAAGGACATCTTCAAGAATCCCACAGTGTTATTAACAACAGCAAGATAACTACTGAGAGACAGTGTTGGAGGGCATCACAACATTGCATTTGTTGCAAGGTACCTCTCTCTTTTTCGCTCTCTTTTACCACTGAAAAAATACACGAATATGTCTGACAAAACAAATATATACCTAAAATTTTTCTTATACAGGCACTGTTTTAGTCAGTGGGATCATATTTAACATTATGTTGTGGGGAAATCGGGATAATATCTTGCATACCACCTGCTACCTTGGTTTGTTTACCCCACCAGCACTTCTCTTTTGGGAAAATCTCGAGCCTCACTGGAAAGACACACTATCTCTTGATCATCTCCTTCCTCCGGATGCTGTGTGGCTGGAGGCAGCATATCTCACCTAGATGCTGTGTATTTTTCTGTGGCAGCAGAGCGTAGGGTAAGGCAGAGCTCGTGGAGGCTGCAGGGAGTCTCTGGGTAGGCGGGGGTCGTACTTGATCAAGACTCCTCAAGAAAGTCGTAAGAGAGGCAAGGTTCATGAAGACTGTATGAGCAGGTCACTGGTTAGTCAGGGTTGTGCCTGATCATCAAACCTCCACAGCAGGGTCGTTGGTGAGGCAGGTTTACTCCTGGAGACTGCAAGAGCAGGTCGTCATGAAGCCAGAGTCGTTTTAGTGGTTGTGGAGTCTCCAGCAGTGGCCCCAGAATCCTAGTTCACGCACACCTTTCCTTATTACGCGCTCCGCTGGTTTCTCCATCTTATTCTGCGGTTCTTCATTCTTGCCAAGTTTATTTCCTTCGCATTTTCGCCCCCGAGGGCGGTCCATAACGGCTGGTCCGGCGCACGAGGCGCTCTTCCACTCTCTCGCTTTACTCTGACAAGATTTCACGATGATCTGACGATAACCCAGGACCGAAACGTCGTCGAAAATTTCCTCTCCTAAGCGTAGGATTAGTTGTGGATTGTTTCAGCCACTGTATTGTGGGTATGTGTGAATTGTTCCGGCCACGGTATTGTGGGTTATTTATGGATTGTTCCAGCTACGGTATTGTGGGTTATTTGTGGATTGTTCCGGCCACAGTATTGTGGGTTATTTATGGATTGTTCCGGCCACGGTATTGTGGTTTATTTATGGATTGTTCCAACCACAGTATTGTGAGTTAATTGTCGATTGTTACAGCCACGGTATTGTGACTTGCGTTCCTCCGCACTGATCTGCTATTGGTCTAATCTGTCTCTCAATCCCACTACGAAAGATTATATAACAAATTATATTATAGCCTAACGGTATTCTAGACTAACATTTATATTTCCTCTCAACATCCCCTGTATCTCTGTCTTGGTGACAGTGTGACGAGACATCGGGAAAACTGACGGTGGAGGACTCTTGAGTAAAGAGTTGTCGCCGTTTGCTTTCCTGGTGACAACTTGAGGGAGACTTGCAGAGGCAGTTGTCGTCTACGACGGGAAGGGGACGACGCAAGCAGTCGTCTAGTCACGGCTTCACACACTGGAAATACAATTCGACTGATATTATACACAACTTACATGATGATAACATATAATAACATTAAGATAAAAATGAGTTATGTCGAGAAATTGCAGTGAGGAGCTCTTTAAGTCTTGAGAAATCAACCTATAAAGCGTTATTCAGTTTGACTGTTTATCTGTCTGCCTGAAAGTCTGTTTGTCTGTCTATCTCTATCTCTCTCTCTCTCTCTCTCTCTCTCTCTCTCTCTCATTTTTTTTACACAGGGTTTAACACACTCTCTTTTTCGCGCAAATTTTTACGAGTTACACATTGCTAAGCAATCCTCGCAGACCGTCAACAACATTCTTAAGAAGTATATAGTCAGCATGTGCATGACAGCGAGCTGTCTTGCGTGCGGACGTACGTCACTTCGCTGTGTTGCTTATGGACGTACATCAATTCGCTGCGTTGAATGCAGGCACGGGAGAGCTTGTTTTGCAGGAACAAGCAACATGTGTTTGAACGAAGCAACATGTGTATGAACGAAGCAACATGTGCATGAACGAAGCAACATGTGCATGAACGAAGCAACATGTGCATGAACGAAGCAACATGTGTATGAACGAAGCAAAATGTTTTCGCACCGTAAATGAGAGAGAGAGAGAGAGAGAGAGAGAGAGAGAGAGAGAGAGAGAGAGAGAGAGAGAGTAGTGCCAGAAGTAGTGCCAGTAGTATCAAGGGCTGGCAGGGCGACGTGGTGACTGTATAGTGGATGGTGAACGGAGCGTACTATATATAAGGTGTCCACCAGAATGAGTTACAGTGTGTGTGTGTGTGTTGTGTTGTGGTTTGTGTTGTGGTGTGTGTGTGTGGTGTGTGTTGTATTGGTTAATGGAGTTTAAAGCCTATCGACTACACGAGGGTCATTAAGGCTGCACGTAACCTTTTCAACACCTGACAGGAATACTTTAATCCCTAAAATGGGGATTAAATTTAACTCACAACAGTATTCATGCTGAGAAACATACACCTCTCGGTGTATGCTTGATGTGTGTGTGTGTGTGTGTGTGTGTGTGTGTGTGTGTACTCACTCACCTATTTGTACTCACCTATTTGTGGTTGCAGGGGTCGAGTCATAGCTCCTGGCCCCGCCTCTTCACTGATTGCTACTAGGTCCTCTCTCTCCCTGCTCCATGAGCTTTATCATACCTCGCCTTAAAACTATGTATGGTTCCCGCCTCCACTACGTCACTTTCTAGGCTATTCCACGGCCTGACTACTCTATGACTGAAGAAATACTTCCTAACATCCCTTTGATTCATCTGAGTCTTAAACTTCCAATTGTGACCTCTTGTGTCTGTGTCCCTTCTCTGGAACATCCCGTCTTTGTCCACCTTGTCTATTCCGCGCAGTATTTTTTATGTCGTTATCATGTCTCCCCTGACCCTCCTGTCATCCAGTGTCGTCAGGCCGATTTCCCTCAACCTTTCTTCGTAGGACAATCCCTGTAGCTCTGGGACTAGTCTTGTTGCAAATCTTTGCACTTTCTCTAATTTCTTGACGTGCTTAACTAGGTGTGGATTCCAAACTGGTGCTGCATACTCCAGTATGGGCCTGACGTAAATGGTATACAGAGTCTTGAACGAATCCTTACTGAGGTATCGGAACGCTATCCGTAGGTTTGCCAGGCGCCCGTATGCTGCAGCAGTTATCTGATTGATGTGCGCCTCAGGAGATATGCTCAGTGTTATACTCATCCCCAGATCTTTTTCCTTGAGTGAGGTTTGCAGTCTTTGGCCATCTAAACTATATTGTGTCTGCTGTCTTCATTGCCCTTCCCCAATCTTCATGACTTTGCATTTGGCAGGGTTAAACTCAAGGAGCCAGTTGCTGGACCAGGCTTGTAGCCTGTCCAGGTCTTTTTGTAGTCCTGCCTGATCCTCATCCGATTTGATTCTTCTCATTAACTTCACATCATCCGCAAACAAGGACACTTCTGAGTCTATCCCTTCCATTATGTCGTTCACATATACCAAGAACAGCACAGGTCCTAGGACTGACCCCTGTGGAACCCCGCTTGTCACAGGCGCCCACTCTGACACCTCGTCACGTACCATGACTCGTTGTTGCCTCCCTGTCAGGTATTCTCTGATCCATTGCAGTGCCTTTCCTGTGTGGTGTGGTGTGTGTGTGTGTGTGTGTGTGTGTGTGTGTGTGTGTGTGTGTGTGTGTGTGTGTGTATGAGTGTTTGTGTGTGTATGTGTGTGTGTGTGCGAGTGTTTGTGTGTGTGTGTGTGTGTGTGTGTGTGTGTGTGTGTGTGTGTGTGTGTGTGTGTGTGTGTACTCACCTAGTTGTACTCACCTAGTTGAGGTTGCGGGGGTCGAGTCCGAGCTCCTGGCCCCGCCTCTTCACTGATCGCTCCTAGGTCACTCTCCCTGAGCCGTGAGCTTTATCATACCTCTGCTTAAAGCTATGTATGGATCCTGCCTCCACTACATCGCTTCCCAAACTATTCCACTTACTGACTACTCTGTGGCTGAAGAAATACTTCTAACATCCTGTGATTCATCTGTGTCTTCAGCTTCCAACTGTGTCCCCTTGTTATTGTGTCCAATCTCTGGAACATCCTGTCTTTGTCACCTTGTCAATTCCTCTCCGTATTTTGTATGTCGTTATCATGTCCCCCCTATCTCTCCTGTCCTCCAGTGTCGTCAGGTTGATTTCCCTTAACCTCTCCTCGTAGGACATACCTCTTAGCTCTGGGACTAGTCTTGTTGCAAACCTTTGCACTTTCTCTAGTTTCTTCACGTGCTTGGCTAGGTGTGGGTTCCAAACTGGTGCCGCATACTCCAATATGGGCCTAACATACACAGTGTACAGGGTCCTGAAAGATTCCTTTTAAGATGTCGGAATGCTGTTCTGAGGTTTGCTAGGCGCCCATATGCTGCAGCAGTTATTTGGTTGATGTGCGCTCAGGAGATGTGCCTGGTGTTATACTCACCCCAAATCTTTTTCCTTGAGTGAGGTTTGTAGTCTCTGACCCCCTAGACTGTACTCCGTCTGCGGCCTTCTTTGCCCTTCCCCAATCTTCATGACTTTTGCACTTGGTGGGATTGAACTCCAGGAGCCAATTGCTGGTCCAGGTCTGCGCCTTCCAATCCCTTTGTAGTTCTGCCTGGTCTTCGATAGAGTGAATTCCCTCTCATCAACTTCACGTCATCTGCAAACAGGGACACCTCAGAGTCTATTCCTTCCGTCATGTCGTTCACAAATACCAGAAACAGCACTGGTCCAGACTGACCCCTGCGGGACCCCGCTGGTCACAGGTGCCCACTCTGACACCTCGCCACGTACCATGACTCGCTGCTGTCTTCCTGACAAGTATTCCCTGATCCATTGTAGTGCCTTCCCTGTTATCCCTGCTTGGTCCTCCAGTTTTTGCACCAATCTCTTGTGTGGAAACTGTGTCAAACGCCTTTTTGCAGTCCAAGAAAATGCAATCCACCCACCCCTCTCTCTCTTGTCTTACTGCTGTCACCATGTCATAGAACTCCAGTAGGTTTGTGACACAGGATTTCCCGTCCCTGAAACCATGTTGGCTGCTGTTGATGAGATCATTCCTTTCTAGGTGTTCCACCACTCTTCTCCTGATAATCTTCTCCATGATTTTGCATACTATACATGTCAGTGACAACTGGTCTGTAGTTTAATGCTTCATGTCTGTCTCCTTTTTTAAAGATTGGGACCACATTTGCTGTCTTCCATGCCTCAGGCAATCTCCCTGTTTCGATAGATGTATTGAATATTGTTGTTAGGGGTACACATAGCGCCTCTGTCTCCCTCTCTCAATACCCATGGGGAGATGTTATCTGGCCCCATTGCCTTTGAGTGTTTGTGTTTGTGTGTGCGAGTGTGTGTGTGTGTGTGTGTGTGTGTGTGTGTGTGTGTGTGTGTGTGTGTGTGTGTTGTGTGTGTGTGTGTGTGTGTGTGTGTGTGTGTGTATGTGTGTGTGTGTGTGTATGTGTGTGTGTGTGTGTGTGTGTGTGTGTGTGTGTGTGTATGTGTGTGTGTGTGTGTGTGTGTGTGTATGTGTTTATCAGTCGCTGCACGGTCCTTGAAATGGCGTCCCCATATCTCAAAAGCCTAGCCCCTTCTACCTCAATGCACGCTAAGGAAATAATACAGAGTGTAATATAAGTTTCTAGCACAGTTGAATATCAGTTTTAAAGATCTGAAGCCAATCGGAAGAGGCATTCACAAGCTGTCGCATGAAAACGAATATATCAAGTTCTTCAGTCAAAATGGCAAATTAACACTTACACAGTCCAGAACAAATTTAAAATTTAAAGCTGGTAAGTAATTGTGTTGTCAAGACATCGCCGTTGAAATTTATGAAACCGATCGGTTGAGACATTCGTAAGTAATCACGTGAAAGCTAGCATTTCATTTTTTTTATTTTCGTTATTCACTTATACAAGAAACAGCACAGGACCCAGGATTATCCTTGTGGAACCCCACTCGACACATGCGCCCACTCTGGCACCTCGTCACGTACCAACATTCGTTGTTTCCTTCCTGTCAGGTATTCCCTGATCCATTGCAAGTGGCACCTATACAGTGTTAATGATACGGGTCGACTTTGCATTTCTATTTGAGTTGTGTGACTTTGGTTGCGCTGCAAGGAAGGATCTTCAGTGTACCCAGAAGGGAGCCACACATATTCCGCCATCTACTGGCAAAAGTCTGCACTTCTCCTGTGTTTGTAGATGAATGGTTCAGAGAACCGACATGTTGATAAATTAGACACATGTGCAACTCTTGGGTATCTTTAAAGATACCCAAGAGTTGCACATGTGTCTAATTTATCAACTTCTCCTGTGTGTTGCGAGTCTACAATTCTCCTGTGTGTTGTGAGTCTCTAATTCTCCTGTGTGTTGCGAGTGTGCACTTCTCCTGTGTGCTGAGAGTCTGCACTTCTCCTGTGTGTTGGGAGTTTGCACTTCTCCTGTGTGTTGCGAGTCTTCACTTCTCCTGTGTG